TCATCGTTTAATATTAATTTTTTTTCTTTTCCTTTTAATCAATGGTGTCATTACGTCGCGTCATCGTTCATAATCAAACAGGGTGAGAAATGTTTTTTTTTTAGTGTTTGAGTACGGGAGACTAAGCAAAGTGAGAGTTAGTGGTGAGATGGTGAGTCATGTCCGTTGGGGTTAGGTTCGCGTTATCTGAAGCACTTCTGGGTAGTTCCTAAAAACCCAACCAGGAACTGTCTTGGTGTCCGTGGCACGCGACCGACCCCCCAAGACTCATTGACACATGTCATCTGATGGGTGCATGTGGATCATTTGAGTCTTCCCGCGGGTGCGAATAGAATAGTCATTAATTCTTTTTTTTCGTTCAATCGCGATTTATTTGAAAGAGAAAGATATTAAAAACATAATAAAATTAATCATCGTATTGAGTTCATTCGATATTAAATTTTTGTACTCGATGATTTCCCCAATCGACGACATAGAGATTGCCATGTCGATCGAATGACAAACCTACGGGGCCATTGAGTTGATTCGACTGTGTTCCTTCACCGTTACCACCAATAATGACACTTCCTTGTGTGGCTCCTTTTGGCCAACGCATGATTCGATGATTCAAACAATCAGCCACATAGACAGTACCCATTTGATCGACAACGATTCCTTGAGGACGATACAATTGTGCAAGATTATTTCCTTGTCCTTGACCACCGGCTACGACAATGCCTTGTTTTGCACCTTCTTCCCATTTCATCACACGATTATTTCCCCAATCAGATAAGTATACTGAATGATCTCCATCGACGAATACGTATTGTGGGATAGAGAGTTGGTCGAGACGATTTCCTTTTCCATTGCTACCTGCAACCACTGTTCCTTGAGATTCTTCTCTTTGATATCGTTTCACTTCATGTTTTCCAGCGTCAACGACATAGAGAGATCCATTCTCGTCGATTGTCAAACCCACACAAACGATGTTGGAGATGATTGTTTCTCCACTTGTCCCATTTCGACGAGGCCATCGAACCACTCTGCTATTCCCATTATCGGAGATGATGAGACTATCTGTCTCTTTGTTGACAACCACATCTCTTGGATAATACAACTGATGAGCTCCATTTCCTTCTCCATTTCCACCAGCCACCACTCGGCCATTCGTTGCACCACGTTTCCATTCCACAATACGGCGATTCGACGTATCAGCGACATAAATTGTTTCATCATCATCAACATACAAACCCCATGGGTTTGAGATTTGATTGGTTCTATTGCCTCCTCCATTTCCACCGGCAACCGCTTGTTCATTCGTTGCACCACGTTTCCATTCCACAATACAGCGATTTGACGTATCAGCGACATAAATTGCTTCATCGTCATCAACATACAAACCCCCTGGGTTTGAGGGTTGATTGGTTCTATTGCCTCCTCCATTACCTCCAACCACAGTGATACCATTCTGTTGCCATCGAGCATTCGGATGAATGTCAATGGAACTCCCACGTAATGCATGGACTGAAATAGAGGGAGAGCGACAATAGAGAGAAAAAAGTAAAAAGTTCTTTTAAAGTTTTGCAAAATCAACATCGTTTCAAGTTTTTGGCTCGTTTTCGATTTCCTCTTTTGCTAGCGGATGTTTTCTTTGTTTTTTTCTCGAGAGAATGGGACTATCAAAAACTTAGTCATTTCGTTTTCTTTATTACTTAATTTATCATAAAATAACTATTGATACATGTTTTTTTTTATCTTGGAAAGAGAAATAGATCAACGTAGTAATTATGGTACAAATAATGAATTTTTTTTGTCTTATGAAAGATGTAATAATGAGTGTTCATATGTAAAGAACAATATTGGAACTTCAAATCCTTGTATCGACTAATAGACACAGCGAGAGAGAGAGTCATGCGAATAGTGGAAATATACTAATTAAAAAGAATTAAAAATCTTCATTACATTCGTATTGATTTTAATAAAACTTTTTTTAATATATAATTAGATATTAGCAACTTGAAACAGAAGTTGAAACTATTTCATTAGTTTTCTTATCAATTTTTTTTCTACATGTACATTAAATGTAGGTTACAACAAATTCTACACAAAAAATTCTACACAAAAAATTCATGAGACTACGTTATAATACGTGTCTTTTTACATATACAGTAAAACCTCTCTGTAGAAGGATCTTCTTATTCTGAGCAGTGAGCGCTTGTTTTGAGTCTCATGAGAAATAACGACCTCCATTTTATGAGCAATGTACCATTCACGTGCAGAACGAGAAAAAAATGGTACTATATGTATTACATTATGAGAAACAATCAAGCAATATATGTAAGAAGGAGACAGAGTAATGGTGTGTATTAAGAGAGGTTCCGCGAGCCCATCGAGAATCGCTGGAATATGGTCAAAAAAAAAAACTTTTAGTTTTTTTCATTTCATTCGATTCCTTAAAGAAAAGTAAGATTATGAAACTCTTTTTTCATTTTCAGGATCTTCTTTAGCGGAGTTACAGGCTTGACAACGAGATGGGGGTCTGAAAAGTCGCAAAAAAACACGTTTTTCGATTTTTTTCCAGTATTTCTCCTATAACTCTGTCATTTTTCGTTCGTTTCTTTTGTGGAGCATCTCATGCGAAAGAGCTGATCAAACTGAACAAAAACGTCTCTTATAAGACTTCCAAAAAGTGAAGTATTCACAGAGAAAAAAAGAGTTTTCCAAAACACCCAAGTTTTTCGGAACCAGATTTTTTT